TAAAATCTGCTGTTTGAATTTTAACCCTGCTATTCTGGCTTTGGCATTCGCTTACTTGCCTAAACATAGGGTAGTTACCTCAGCTTCCAGGTGGAGATCTGGAGGCTAAGGCAATTTTCCTTTGCCTGGGACCAGAACTACAGGAGATTGATTCCCACAGACTCAGTAGCTTCAGGGGTAGAAACTGCAGATAACCTTTACAGATTAACCGCTGAGCTCTGCTTCTGTATTACCGGCTATCACAAGATAGGGCCACATTCTGTTATGTCCAGATTTCAAGATCCCCAAGGACCACCAGGGAGCCAAGTCCATGCAAAAGCAAAAGAGCCTTTATTCAAACTTGAGCCTGGTCTCCCTGCCTCTACCGATGTAGCGGCAGGATGCAGAGAGCCCCGAGCTCTGAAAGTGTGATCTTTTTATAGGGTTTAGGGTTGGGTGGTGGGGTAATGCTCAGACCACTGAGTTAACTGGTTCTAATTGGTGGGGTGAAGGCCAGGACCCAGTTACGCTGGGTTACTTCCGTCTGCATTTCTATTAGCTGGCTTAAGGGTGGGTTGGGTAATGGATACATTTTACATAAGATGGAAGACAGTACAAAACGGAGTCAGTTCTTCTCTGCCCTTGAAAGAAGGCCTACGTGCTGGGAAGGGGCCATGAGACCATATCTCAAGGCCTGGCCTGGTGTCAGCACTGATAACTCTTCTGGGGCACAGTCCATGGCCTTTCTGGAAGCATGCTCCAACATTCTCACTCTCTAACAATTCCAATGTCCAGCAGATGTGCCTGGGAATGACCCTGCAGGCTGTTCCCAGCCTTTAGAATTTAGAATTTAGAACAAAGGAAAATTCCTGTGGTTTAGACCTTTAAAAGGACTGCCTACCCCTGGAACGGTGCAGTCGTGTGGACTCCACCTGCGTGTGGTGCTCTCGTGGCCATCCTGGACAGTTTTCAATAAATCCTTGCCTGCTTTTTTTAATCAATCATCAGCCTCCGGTAGTCTTATTTTGAACCCAGTGTTCGACCCCACAACAGAGGGGACGTCAAATGAGAAGGGATCCAATTAGAAAGTAGCATAGACAAAGAAGTAGCCAGCATTTATAAACCCTTAGACAAAGAGGCTAGGGGTTACTCTTTTGGGGACCCCAGCCCCTAGGTGGGGAGTTTGCATAGGCTTGCAATTAATTTTTATTCATTTGCTTAAAATCTTTTATTCCATGAATTTTATTCTTCAAACTTCGTAGGACAAAGACCTGGAATCAGGATCCCAGTTTACCATTTGGGTAACACTACCACCGTGATCTCTGATAAAACATAAGCTTTCCAAAAAATGAAACAATAATTATAATCCAGAGAATGACTCATCAAGATGTTGTTCAATAGTGACATAGGAAGTACAAGGCAGGAAAAGAAAAACTGAAATTCAAATTCCTCAAATTGGCTGCCCTGGGCAACATTAAATGGTTTCTCTTTCTTAGAAATAGTCTACATTCTTACATCCCTGATTTGTTATTTAAAATATTCTTAATTTATTCACAAATGATTTATTCATAAATAATACCTTGTAGCTGGAGATGCTCTTGCCAAGATAGAGATCTCTTCATTGTCTTTTACTGCTGTCAGAGCAGCAAATCATAGTATTATAGAATACAAGCTATAGCCATTAAAAATGGTATATATCTTCCTGACACATTTCCACTGGTAATCATTGTATAGGGACAAATGTGCCAACCGGAATTTCCTGGTAGCTTGAGATGAAGGACATTGGGAGTCAACATATTTCTTCCCAGCTTAATCTCTTGTGTATTTGTCAACTGCATTTTCCGTTTATGCAGATCTTTGGTTCGTGGTCCTCTACTGCCTATCTCCTTTACTCCCTACCATTGCCGAAATCTGCTTCAACACAGTATGTCCAAGTCCTTCCACTTGTAATCATTCACTGTGGCTTGTCTTGTCTGGACCTAGTTCTGCTCCTGTGGGTAATTGTCATTTCCTTTGGGCTGTCTAGTCTTGGCCAACTGGTTTGTACTTATAGCGGATACAAAAACCACTTTGCTATTTAATTTAATATTTGAACCTGTCCCATATGTAGTGGCAGAAGTAGGAGGGGAAGCTGAGAATATGTCTTAAATACTACAACTTTATCAATCCACTCTTTGGGTGAATTTACTTTTTTTAACCTGTGGAAAATTTTATTTTTCAATGACAGTTAAAAATCAATGTTATTTTATATTAATTTCAGATGTACATATAGTGGTTAGACAATTATATAATTGAAGAAGTGATCCTCCCAATGATTGAAGAGTCCACCTGGCACCATACATAGTTATTAAAATATTACTGACTATATTCCATATACTATACCTTATATCATCATGACAATTCCGTAGCTACCAATTTTTACTTCTGAATACTTTCACCTTTTTCACCCAATCCCTCATCCATCTTCCCTTCTGAAAACCTTCAGTTTTGTTCTCTGTATCTATGAATCTGTTTCTGTTTTATTTTGTTCTTTAGATTTCATATATACTAAGTGAAATAATATGGATTTTGTCTTCTTGATTACCTGAGCCAGCTGCTTGAAGAGTGTCCCTTGTGTGGTTTATGATAGATTAAATAGAGAAGGTAGACCAGGGACCGGGATGGCAGGACACACAGGCTTTATTGGAGGAAAGGTACCCCTGCTGGCTGCTTCCACGGAGAGGTGCGGAAAAGAGCAAGCGAGGGGCTTACAAGCATCTTTAAGGATAGAGGGCGGGTTTTAGGGCACTCAGCACACGCTGATTGATTAGGGATCTAGGGACTTAGGGATAAGGACTTAGGGTATTTGGCAGGTGATTGGTGGTTCAGAGCTCAGGAATGTCTGGTCGCAGGTGGGGTTTATGTCTGTCCATCAACTGGAGAAAGGGAGGATCTATCAGTTTGTGTGTGATCTGTTGAACTCTGATTGCTGTGGGCACATCTGTTGAGGATATTGACCCTCAGTCTGTCTATGTGAATTGGCCACAACAGTAATATGAATTGCTGTGTGTGTGTGTGTGTGTGTGTGTGTGTGTGTGTGTGTGTGTGTAGGGGGGTGGGTGGGGATGGGGGACTCCAGAATAGGATTTGCCCCAGTGGGGTAGGGGTCCCATGATTTCTGAGATATTGCTTTGGATGTGCCACTTGTATAGCTAATTGCATGGTGCTCTCCTGTGGTTTAAATCCAGCCATTGGGTGTGTTGATTCTGGGGCCTCTTGAGAGGAATTCCAATGCAGGTCATGTCAGATGTTGCTTGTCACTATCCTGGGGCTACCCATTGGGATCTATAAAGCAATATGCATTTGGTAGCTGCCTGTGCTAGGCCTGGATGCTGGTGAAAGGGGCCACTTTGCACACCAAGGCTGACTGCCACCAGTACCAGGCCTGAGGTAGGTCAACTAAAGGCCTAAAGCACCTTGAGACCAGCCTGGATGGAGCCTGTGGTCCTTTAAGTTGGGCTGGATCTCAGGAAGTTTTCTGGGTGGAGCTAATAGAGTTCACCAGGTTGATGCAAATTCAGGTTGGGTCATGTTGAGGCAAGGGTTCAAGACAGGAACAATGGCAGCTATCCCTCCAACCTTCACCCAAAGCCACACAACTCAGTTTCTTTATGTAAGTCTCTGGCACCTCCTAACCCAAGCCACTATCCCTCTGCTAGATCCCAAGGTGTGTGCCTGCAAGCCAGAGTCTTTGCACTGACCCTTTAAGAGGTTTTCAGCAGCCTTTTATCTTACATGGACATTTCACAGACAGAAATTATGTGGACTTCTCTTCCCACACCAGTGTTCCAGGCTAAGGAGCCAGGCATGGGACTAGACTCCTTTTTCCTCAAGGGGGATGTCTACAGCTGATACATCCCTCCAGATGCTCTACTATCACACTTAGGTGCAGGACCCCAGGCTGTTTCAAGTCTCTGCCCTTCCTACCAGTCTAAACATGGCTTCTTCTTCTTCTTTTTTAAAATATATTTTATTGATTTTTCACAGAGAGGAAGGGAGAGGGATAGAGAGCTAGAAACATCAATGAGAGAGATACATTGACCAGCTGCCTCCTGCATGCCCCCAACCAGGGATGTGACCGCAACCAATGTACATGCCTTTGACCGGAATCAAACCTGGGACCTTTCAGTCCGCAGACCGACGCTCTATCCAGTGAGCCAAACCAGTTTCAGCAAAACAAGGCTTCTTCTTTACATCCTTAGTTATATGGTTTCTGTTCAGCTGGTCTCCAGAAGGTTATCCAGGTTGACTGTTCTGTAACTTAGTTTTAATTTCCATGCAGTCATTGGAGGAAATGAGTGCAGCATCCACCTACTCCAGCACCTTGAGAAGAAACTGATTGTTTCATTTTTAACTGAATAAGAAGCAAGGCTAAAAATTTTATTTTTCACCCAAATTTCCATACATCCATGTTTATATCCTTACAATAACTTTATAGTAGTATAATACCTAAATAAAGGAGTGAATATTTTTCTAATTTTGACATATTGTTACTGAAAAACTGAGCTGCTCACTGCTTGAAACTCAATACTTGAGAGACAAGTGTTGGGTGGGAAGGAAAGGTTGCTTTATTCAGGAAGCCAGCAGCCTGGGAATATGGTGGACCAATGTCCAAAAACCATCTCTGAAGTTCTGAACCAAGGAGAAGAGTTTTAAAGGGAGGCAGGTGGGAAACAGCAGGAACTATGTGTTGGCACACACAGCCGGAACCAGTTAATCTTTCCCCTGATTACTGGAGACTTGCTTGCATCAGAGTTACTATTCTTCTTTGTGGTCAGGCATGACCTAGGCCTTGCATTCCCTTTGTAGAAACCTCTGGTTCCTCTAAAATAAGTTCAAGTGGGAAGTGTTGAAACATATTTTAAGGTTAAAACAAAGAAAAGGAGGTTGGGTTTGAGAGGAGTGACGGGTATAAAAGGCAATCACACAGAAAATGAATTACTCCTTGGATTCCCTCCTGAGATAAACCTCTTATTTAGACCATGAAGCTCAAGGTATTGTTATATTTTATGTGGCTAATTTAAATTGGTTTTCTAGTTTATCTCTTATTGTCTCAATTTCTTCATTGCCCTCTCATTTGAAGAGCTTTCTGATTCTACTTCAAAAATGGCATTTTACTGTTTCCCAAAGCCTCTGGGATATCTAAGTAACTGCATCTTGTTTCTTCTTTTTGTTTGGTGTGTGTGTGTGTGTGTGTGTGTTTTAGCAATGTTTTAGCAATGACAGACATATATCTATTGTATAAAGTTAGGAAGAAAATGAATCATTATACGTTCATTGAATTAACCTCCTAGTTTTGTGTACGTTAACATTGGCTTTGCCAGATTATTTTTCTAATTATATATTTATTGTTCTTAGTCTCCTAGAGAAGGTAAAATTTCTATGGCTATACTACTTAGTACTATGTTGAATAAGAGTGGTGAAAGAGGACATCCCTGTATTGATCCTGTTCTTAGGGGAAATGCTTTTAGTATTTGTCCGTTGAATATGAAGTTGACTGAAGGTTTATCATATATGTCCTTTATTATGTTGAGGTAGGATCCCTCTAGTCTCACTTTGATGAGAGTTTTTATTATAAATGAGTACTGGGTTTTATTAAATACTTTTTCTGCATCTATTAATATGATCATGTGATTTTTATCTTTTATTTTGTTTATGCAATGTACCACATTTATTGGTTTGCATATATTGCATCAAACTCACATTCCTGGAATAAATCCCACTTGATCATGATGTATGATTTTTTAAGTGTGCTGCTGGATCTGATTTTGTTGAGTATTTTAGCATCTATATTCATCAGTGATATTGGCCTCTAATTTTATTTACTTGTGTTTTTATCTGGCTTTAGTATTAGAATAATGTTGGCCTAATAAGAAAAGCTTGGAAGTTTTCACTCTCTTGAATTTTTTTGGAGTAGTTTGAGAAGAATAGGTGTTAGTTCTTATTTGAATTTTTGGTAAAATTTGCCTGTGAAGCCATTAAGTCCAGAACTTTTGTTTGCGGAAGAGTTTTGATTACTGCTTCAATTTCATTAGTTATTATTGGCTTTCTCAGGTATTTTTCTTCTTCCTGATTAAGTTTTGGAAGATTAAGTTCTCTAGGAATTTGTCAATTTCATCCAGTTTGCCTAGCCTATTGGCATGTAGTTTTTCATAGTATTTTTTTTTATAAACCTTTGTATTTCTGTGGTGTGAGTTGTTATTTCACCTCTTACGTTTCTGTTTATTTATTTGGGTTCTCTCTCTTTGTTTCTTGATGAGTCTGGCTAAAAGTTCATCAATCTTATTTATCTTTTCAAAGAACCAGCTCATGGATTCATTGATCTTTTGTATTTTACTTTGTTTTGTTTTATTTGTCTCTATGCCATTTATTTCCACTTTGTTCTTTATTATTTCCATCCTTCTACTTACTCTGAGCTTTTCTTGTTGTTCTCTTTATAATTATTTTAGTTATAGTGTTAGATAGTTTATTAGAGCTTTTTCTTGTTTCTTGTAATGCTATGAACTTCCCTCTCAGGACCACTTTTGCTGATCCCATAAGTTTTGGGTTGTGTGCTCCTTTTTGTTTGCTTCCAGAAAGTTCTTTATTTCTTCTTTGATTTCATTGGTAGCCCTTTAATTATTTAGCCTCCATGTATTTGACTGTTTTTGAATGTTTTTATTGTAATTAATTTCTAGTTTCATGCCATTGTGATCTGAGAAAATGCTTGATATGATTTCAAATCTCTTGAACTTGTGGAGATTTAGTTTGGGTCCTAACATGTGGTCTATCTTTGAGAATGTCCTATATGCACTTGAGAAGAATGTATATTCTGCAGTCTTGGGATGGAATATTCTATAAATGTCAATTAAATCCATCTGGTGTATATGTGGGTGACATAGCATTCACCCTCCAGAGGATGTGCTTGGCATAGGCAGCTAGTTCTCTTTTCCTAGTACTTACCCACGAGGAGTAAATAAATTATCTGAGTTTCTGTTTCCTTGTGTGTGATTTTTTGTCTCAAAGATCTATCCAGTGATGTCAATGGTATATTAAAGTTCCTACTATGACTATATTTCTGTCTATCTCCCTTAAAGTCTTCCATGGGCTTTTTTATATATTTAAGATGAATATATGTTTAACATGGTTATATGCTCTTATTGTATCAATCCCTTTAATATCATGTAGTGGCCTTCTTTATCTCTTTTTACAGTCTTTGCTTTGAAGTTTATTTTGCCAGATATAAGTATTGCTACCCCCATGTGTTTTTTATTTCCATTTGTTTTTGTTTTAAATATATTTTTATTTATTTCAGAGAGGAAAGGAGAAGGAGAGAGGGAGAGAGAGAGAGACATTAATGATGAGAAAGAATCATTATCAGCTGCCTTCTGCACACCCCCTACTGGGGATTGAGCCTGCAACCGGGACATGTGCCTTTGATCAGAATCAAAACTGGGGCCCAGCCCTAACCGGTTTTGCTCAGTGGATAGAGCATCAGCCTGTGGACTGGAAGGTCCCAGGTTCGATTCCTGTGAAAGATACATACCCGATAGGAGATGTGCAGGAGGCAGCTGATCGATGTTTCTGACTGTATCTCTCTCCCTTCCTCTCTCTGTAAAAAATCAATTATATATATATATATATATATATATATATATATATATATATATATATACATACATACATACCTGGGCCCTTCAGTCCACAGGCTGATGGTCTATCCACTGAGTCAAACCAGCTAGGGCTTCATTTCCATTTGTATGAAAAATATTTTTCCATCCCTTCACTCTTACCCTGTATGAGTCTTTAGTTATGAAGTGGATCTTTTGTAGACAGCATATATAATGTTTTCTTATCCATTTGGCTAACCTGTGTCTTTTTTTTAAATATTTTTTATTGATTTTTTACAGAAAGGAAAGGAGAGAGATAGAGAGCTAGAAACATCGATGAGAGAGAAAAATCAACCAGGTGCCTCTTGCACACTCCCTACCGGGGATGTGCCTGCAGCCAATGTACATGCCCTTGACCGAATCGAACCTGGGGCCTTTCAGTCTGCAGACCGAAGCTCTACCACTGAGCCAAACCGATTTCAGCTAACCTGTGTCTTTTGATTGTAGCATTTATTCCATTTACATGTAAGATTACTGTTAGTAGGCACTTATACCATTTTTTATATCTATATTCCTCACTCTCTTTCACATTGATATTTTCTCTCTATCTGTCTCTCCCCTTCTTTTCCAATCTCTCTAAAAATCAATAGAGAAGATATCCTCAATGAGGATTAGCAACAGCAACAAAAAAGCCTATGTAACTTAATGACATTGCTTTTCTGGGTCTCTTTACCTGCAAAGGAGATGCACAATAAATACCTACCTAGAGACTTGTGGATACTGTATCTTAAAAGATCAGTGCAATACCTGGCACATCCTTAAAATGGCAGTTACCAGCTCTCTGAATGCACCTCACCCCCTGCCAAGGTCTGTCTACTGTATGGCCAAGATACTCCCCACTCTCCCCTGTTGACTCTCTGTGCTTCCCTTCACCATCACCTCTCCACACTCTGGGTCATCGTCTGCTTGCTAATCTGTGTCCTCAACTTGACTGAGGACAGAAACTGGCTAGTGTGTATTCCCACATCCCTTTTAGCAGGTGCTTGGTACACATCATTTTTTTATAAATTAAACTTAATTTGATCATTTGGGTTTCCTCTAGTGGAATAAACTCTTTACATAAAAGTACCTCGAGTTTTCATCTATTACAGAGGTATGCAGACACACAGTGAGTATCTGACTGTTCTAACCCTCTCCCCTTTAAAGTCCGTCACAGAAAGCTTTGCCAAAGTGATCCATGGCTTGAACGTGGGACACCTGACAGATCGTGTTATTCAGAGGAGCAAGAGGATGATTCTGGATACGCTGGGCGTTGGGTTCCTGGGAACCGGTACAGAAGTGTTTCACAAAGCCAACGAATATAGTAAAGTAAGTTCATGTCTGCTTTAGATAAAAGCCAATGTGCACACATGCCTGCTTAGGAGTGTACCCACGAGTGTACCAGAGCTGGGTGAGTTCTACTGCTCTGCTCTTCGTGTTAGGGATACTACGTGGTGTATATAGCATTGTTGTATATAGTTTTACACTTTTCTGTGCTCTATTATCTGAGTTTTCTTATTCATCCATGTATTTTACTAAGTCACTGGCTTAAACCATTCTTAACACTAGTAATATCTCATATTTATTATTATTATGACTAAAAGCACTTTTTAAAAATATATTTTATTGATTTTGTACAGAGAGGAAGGGAGAGGGATAGAGAGTTAGAAACATCGATGAGAGAGAGTCATCCATCAGCTGCCTCTTGCACACCCCCTACTGGGGATATGCCCGCAACCAAGGTACATGCCCTTGACCGGAATCGAACCTGGGACCTTTCAGTCCCCAACCCAACACTCTATTCGAGCCAAACCGGTTTCGGCTGAAAGCACTTTTTAACTGAGAGTCTTAGAAGCAATAGCACCCACCCCAGAGTCTCTAGGGGAAAGGCTGGGCCAGCACTCTGAGCAGAGAGGGGTGTATATGTGGGTGACATAGCATTCACCCTCCAGAGGATGTGCTTGGCATAGGCAGCTAGTTCACTTTTTCTAGTACTTACCCATGAGGAGTAAATAAGAGTAAATTCGGGCTTCACGCTCTGGAGCACTTATAAATCATGGTCTGGGTTGAGCAACAATATATCTTCTCACTTCATGGGAAAAGCTGTGTATTGTCCTACAAAAAAGAGAAGAATTTAATGGTTAAGGCTTTGATTTAACATAGCACAAAGGGTTCAATTAAAGACTATAAATGTAATGCCTCCAAAGATGAAGAATGACTCTTGCAAGGGGGTTTGGCATGCTAGGCTCACACTCTGTATCACTGGTTGATATTCTTTTGTTCCAGATCTACAGTTCCAACGTATCCAGCACTGTTTGGGGCCAGCCAACCTTGAGACTCCCACCGACATATGCTGCTTTTGTCAACGGTGTGGCTGTAAGAAGATTTCCATGTCTTTTCCACAAATACAATAATTTTCAGAGTCAGGAAATATCTCAGAAATTGCCAAATTTCCATATTTTACTAATGGCATCATTGAAATTCTTAGAGATGAAGTGGACTGCCCTCCCTCCCTCCTATGTAGTAATCCCAGTTTTCATAGTGAACTGATACTTTCTAAATCAATTGTGAAGTAGAGGAAATAAGGTAGGATTTAGATAGCTCAACCTCTAAGGTAGCCCAAACTCTAAACTCTGAATGTGTTTAGCAGAGAACATAAAACCCGATATCCAGACTCAATTTTTTTTCTTAAATTTTATTTTTATTTTATTGATTTTGTACAGAGAGGAAGGAAGAGAGATAGAGAGTTAGAAACATCGATGTGAGAGAGTCATCGATCAGCTGCCTCTTGCACACCCCCTACCGAGGATATGCCCGCAACCAAGGTACATGCCCTTGACCGGAATCGAACCTGGGACCTTTCAGTCCCCAAGCCGACGCTCTATCCATTGAGCCAAACTGGTCCCGGCCAGACTCAATTTTTTGATTACCACTTTCTGTTCAGTAGCCAGCCTTTCATTTATTTATTCATTAATTCATTGATTGATTCATTCAACAAACATTTACTGAAAAATAAATAATGGCTATATGATATCTTTATTTTTTTGTAACAAAAGTCAGCATTTCTTGTCTAAGAGACAATTTTTATGCTTTACATAAACATGAATATGTTGGGTTTTGAGATATATTTATGGTTTGGGAGATAGTAGCTCAGAATATTGAAAGTCAAACCTAATGGTACATCCAAGGAATAAATGTCCAATAAGCAGTAGAGAGTGCACCAGACACATCCAATAAACATAAATATCTATTTTAAATGAACTTCTGAGAGTTCATTTAATGAACTATATAATAAACTATATAGTTTATTATATAACAATGAACTATATAATAAAAACTTAATATGCTAAGTGTCCAGTGGGCCAGTGGGCCATTCAACCAATCAAACCGTAATATACTAACGATATGCTAAGGCGGCTTAACTGCTCGCTATGACATGCATTGACCAACAAGGGGTAGACAGTTGACTGGTTGACCAGTCACTATGATGTATACTGACCACCAGGAGGCAGACAGTCAACCAGTCCATTAGTCGTTGTGACATGCACTGACTATGGGGCAGATGCTCTGACCTGTAGGTTAGCTTGCTACTGGGGTCTGGCCAATTGGGACTGAGGAAGACAGGCCGGACACACCCTGGAGCCCTCCCGTGGTTGGCCAACCTCCCACAACCCTCCCTGGCCCTGATTGTGCACCAGTTAGGTCCCTTGGCCTGGCCTGCACCCTCTCACAATCCAGGACCCCTTTGGGGAGGTCAAAGAGCCAGTTTTGGCCCTATGGCAGAACAACCGGTTGCTATGATGCACACTGACCACCAGGGGGGAGACACTCAACTCAGGAGTTGCCCTCTGGTGGTCAGTGCACTCCCACAGAGCTCACAGTTAACAAGCACAGCAGCAGTAGTGGGAACCTCTCCAGCCTCCATGACAGCGCTAAGGGGGGAGTGGGCCTAAGTCGGCAGTCGGACATCTCCCAAAGTCTCGAGAGGATGCAGGCCAGGCTGAGGGACACACATACCCCCACCAGTGTGCGAATTCCATGCACCGGGCCTCTAGTGTCATATAAGAAAAAAGTAAATAGCGGGGTTAAAGAGGACTAAAACCTGATAGCAGAAAATAATGATTTTAAAATATAATTTAGTATATAATCTTGGTTCAAAAAGTCTTTCAACTTCTCCAGAAGTCTAAAATTATTTCATAATAAAAAGTACACAAATATATGGCCAAATATGGGATGAATGATATTAAAGTTTTAATGCAACTTATTTGAAGGGTGGGGAGGCAGTGAGGGAGGGAAGGATGAAGCAATCACCAAATTCCACAGCTTTGTTTATAAGGGAAATACAGATCTTTTCAGGGGCGATGGCAGAGAGCTCTGGTCACCTGGGTAAGACCCTAGATCCTTGGGGCTCACTAGCTGCTCCCCAAGGTACTGCCTGCTTTTGGCAGAGGACAGTCTGTCAAGTGCCCAGCTATGTGATCAAGAATCATAGCCTCTTCATAGGTTTTATTTTCAGGAATCAGATCTAAAATCTCACATCCAATAAGGCTATTACTTAACTAAATGCTTACTGGTTCAAAAGCCGTTGCATTCAGGGAAATACATTTTGGTTTTTGATTTGTCGTTTCCTTGTCTGTCTACATAGATTCACTCCATGGATTTCGATGACACGTGGCATCCTGCCACCCACCCTTCTGGAGCTGTCCTTCCTGTCCTCATGGCTTTATCAGAAGCCCAACTTCCAAGTCCAAAGCTCTCTGGTCTTGACCTACTGCTTGCTTTCAATGTTGGGGTCGAAGTGCAAGGCCGACTAATGAATTTTTCCAAGGACGCCAATAACATACCGAAAAGGTATGGAAAACATTACCCCCACAAAGAAACAGAGTCCCTTTCATCTGTGAATCATTACTTCTGTAGAGCTTTCTGAATAAAGTGTGGCTCACCTGAAGATGTTAATATTAGTGCTAGCAGATAAGTCAGGGCACCAGTCACATATCAGACTGTATATATGAAGATACGATTCAGAAGTGCTCATGAAAAATCCCCTTTGCACTGAAACCGGTTTGGCTCAGTGGATAGAGTGAAGGCCTGCGGACTGAAGGATCCCAGGTTTGATTCCGGTCAAGAACACGTACCTTGGTTGTGGGCATGTCCCCAGTGGGGGGTGTGCAGGAGGCAGCTGATCAATGTTTCTACCTTTCTATCCCTCTCTCTTCCTCTCTGTAAAAACTCAATAAAATATATTTTAAAAAATAAATAAAAATCCCCTTTTGGGTTTAGAACACCAGGACCATGAAATAAATTGGGGTCTGATGCCATCCTGGCACCTGTGGGTACCCTGAATATTCCTGATCCCATCAAAGCATTATCTACTTTGATGTTTGTTAGGTTTCTTCAGACTAATGAGAACACACAGAACATCCTAAACGCACAGACTGTTCAACCCATAGGGCAAAAACGGTCAAATGTGGGCTGTAGCATAGGGTTCAATACAATATTTATCTTGTCATTTGGTCCAGCCTGCTAGGGGAGCTGTAAGTTGGAATGCGGAGTGAATTTTCACAATTTCTAAAAGGCCCTTAATGTTTAGAGTTACTTACATGATCTTTCAGCAATCAACAACTTTCTACCTTTCTTTAATAATTATAAAAAGCACCATTCATAAAGAATTTACTGTCGCCAGCACTGTTAAAAGCATGTCAATTCATTCAACACTCTATAAGGTAAATTCTACTGGTATTATTGTTGCCATTTATAAGTAAGAGAAAACAGAACAGAGATGTTGAATGCCTTTCCCCAAGATCTCTCAACGAATAAGTGGAAGAGCTGAGATTTGAACGCAGGCAGCCTAGCCCCATGATCTAAGTTCCTGATCACTATAACCATACTGCCTCCTGGTGGTGGAGGTTTGTAAATCTCTAATACTGCCTTTTTGCTTTTTCAGATTCCATCCGCCATCGGTGGTAGGAACTTTGGGGAGTGCTGCTGCTGCATCCAAGATGTTAGGGCTCAGCATGGCCAACTGCCAAAAGGCCTTGGCTATTGCCGTTTCTCATGCCGGGGCACCCATGGCAAATGCCGCCACTCAGACCAAGCCTCTCCACATGGGGAACGCTGCCAGGCACGGGATGGAAGCTGCTTTCTTGGCCCTGCTGGGTCTCGAAGGAAACAAGCAGGTCTTGGACACACAGACTGGATTCGGGGCCTTCTATACCAACTACTCCCCCAAAGTCCTTCCAAACCTAGATTCTTACACGTGGCTCCTGGACCAGCAGGATGTGGCTTTCAAGAGTTTCCCTGCACATCTGGCCACCCACTGGGTGGCAGACGCCGCTGCATCAGTGAGAAAGCACCTTGTAACTGACAGAGCCATGCTTCCCACTGACCACATTGAGAGGATCGTGCTCAGAATTCCAGATGTCCAGTACGTAAACCGGCCTTTCCCGGACTCGGAGCACGAAGCCCGTCACTCCTTCCAGTACGCGGCCTGTGCCATGCTGCTCGATGGTGGCATCGCGGTTCCATCGTTCCACAGAGACCAGATCAACAAGCCACAGGTGAGAGAGTTACTTGGCAAGGTGGAGCTGGAGCATCCTCAGGACAACCTGCCAAGCTTCAACACACTCTACTGTGAGATAAGTGTCACCCTCAAGGATGGAGCCACCCTCACCGAGCGCTGTGATACCTTCTATGGTCACTGGAGGAAGCCGCTGAGCCAGAAAGACCTAGAGGCCAAGTTCAGAGCCAATGCCTCCACGATGCTGTCCTGCGATACAGTAGAAAGACTTATACAGACAGTGGACAACCTGGAAGGTATAGAGGACTGTTCTGTGCTAACCTCACTTCTGAAAGGACCCTCTCCACCAGAGATGATTTCACAATCCATCTAGCATGTGATAATTCCATAGTGCGACATCTAAATGCCTTTATATTTGGGGAAATTCAATGATCTGCTTTCCGGAGCAAAGGTCTGCTCTTGGTTCGCCCAGAACTGAATGCAGCCTTTGGCGGAGAGAGTCTAGACAGAACTGGGTATATATGGAAGGAGTCTTGTCCTGTTAATTTGCAAGACTGTTCCAAATATATAGAAGCATTCATAGAGCTGAATTTCAAGTCACCTGTGACTTCCTTATAAAATTAGTATTTTCAGAGGAATTTTATGAACTCCAGTGTGAGAAGGCTTTGAACATGTAAATTTTTTTTTTTTTTTTTTTTTTTTTTTTTTTTTGCCGACAGTGGAGAAGGGCTCTGGTCCGTTGTGCCACCGACAGATTTCTTAGACCAGGGGTTACAGAAGCTCTCCATGGTGGAGGGGATGCTGCTGGGTTTAAATATGAGAGCTTAGTGGGTTAAAATCCTGTCCCCACAACTTACTAGATGTTACTAGGTATTCTTCTACCATAGTTTCTCTATTTTGTAAAGCAGAAATAAAAACCAATCTAAAAAATGAAGTGGCTTCGCTTTAGAAGCCACGCTTTTAACCACTGCATTGTGTCACCTTTCATTATTAAAAAAAAAAAAAAGGGGGGGGGGTAGGGGCTGAGAAATAAATAATGAATGAAGAGTCTGAGATATAATAAAGAATGACAACAAGATCATCAACTATTAGGAGCTCACAGTTCAATTCCTGGTCAGGGCATGTGCCCAGGATGTGGGCTCAATCCCCAGTGTGAGTGTACAGGAGGCAGCCAGTTAATGATTCTCACTCATCATTGATGTTTCTACCTCTCTCTCCCTCTCCCTTCTTCTCTGAACTACACACACACACACACACACACACACACACACACACACATATGTATACACACACACACACACATATACATATATGAATGACAACAAAAATGTATATGTCTATAGTTAAATAAATATTGACTTATAAAATAATAAAATGTCTTATGGGTTTAAAATTGTAACATTAGCAGGAAATTTTATAGTAAACTAGAGGACCAGTGCACAAAATTGGGCATTTGGGGAGGGTCCCTCACCACAGCTGTGCTCGCCAGTTGTGAGTCCAGCTTCTGGCTGAGCCGCACTCCCCCTGTGGGCACACACTGACCACCAAGGGGCAGCTTCTGCATTGAATAGGATTGAGCTGAAACTGGATCTCCAACATCCCAACATCCCTCAAAGGGAGGATGGCCAGCCAGGGAGGGATATGGGAGGACCCCAGACTGTGTCTGGCCCATCTCGCTCAGTCCCAATTGGCCCAACCCCAGCAGCAAGCTAACCTACCAGTTGGAGACTCTGCCCCCTGGTGATCAGTGCTCATCATAGCGAGTGGTTGAGTGGACTTAGTATATCATTAGCATATTACACTTTGATTGGTTGAACGGATGACTGGACGACACTTAACATATTAGGCTTTTATTATATCAGATGGGCTCTAAATTCCTTGTTTTGTTCAAGAGAAGGGCAAAGCTACTAACTCTAGACTTTGATTTGTAAGTATGCATGTTGACCTTTCTAGGGTAACTATTACAAAAAGGCAGCAGAATGTATCACTTCCAGTTAATAGGGAGTGAAATACGTAATTAGGGGGGAAATAACCCATAGGAAGGCAAGACTGAAGGGGAAAAGAAATGTAGAAAAGGCAGAACAAATATAAATTATAGGAAAAAAATCCAAATATATCTGTAATTATAAAAACAGTAAGTGGATTAAATACTCAGTTAAAAAAAATATACCACGAACACATTGTTAAAAATGTTTCACAGCTTTATTAATATCAGCGTTACATACTATTAATTCATCCATTTTAGGTGTACAGTTCAATGAGTTCTAGTAAATTAATAGATTTGTGCAAACATCACCACAATTCAGTTTTTGGAATATTTCTATCACTCTAAAAAAATTCCTCATGACGGCTTGCAATCAATCCCCAGCCCCTCTCCAGCCCTCAGCAAGCAATAATCTGTTTTCTACCTCAATAGTTTTATCTTTTCCAAATATTTTCTCTAGTAAGTGGAATCATACAATATGTGGTCTTGTGTGTCTGACTCTTTCACTTAGCATAAAGTTTTAAGATTTTCCCACATATGTATCAGAGCACTTTACTCCCTTACATTCCTAAGTAACACTCCACCACGTGGATATGTTACAGGGCAGTGAAAAGCTAGGGAAATTCCAGGGCAAGATGAATAGGGAAACTGAGATAAAGAAGTCAAAAGAAGGCCAACAGTGTGGGCAATTTACAGCTGGCTTGTAAATAACAAGCCTTTGTCTTCCCAGCGAAGGACACCTGAGAGCAAATGTTTAAAAACCTCCCAAATGAGAGAATGCAGAAAAAGAGGGTGGAAGGGGAAGGGAGAAAAAGGAAGTTTTATTGTTTTTTTTGTTTAACTCACTAACAGAGAAGCCAGCAGTCTCAAGGTGAGGCGAGATGAAATTGCCAGGTGCTTCCCATGAATTCTGAACCTTGAAAACTAGTCTGTACCGAGACATTCAGCAGAGGAATTTTTGAAACCTATAGACAGGGGAGTGTGGAACTCCTCCAGCCCGCACATGACATTGGCTTTCTTGGATTAGCTGGAAAAGCCTACCCGCCTCAGCCCAGTGAACTGGGATAGATTTGCTTGCCTTGCTTCTTTAATAAATATGCTTGCTTTGATAAATTGGCTTTGTCATAATATAATCAGGGTCTCCATTTAAATTCATGTATACTAGAAGACAAGAGGAAATCCAAGATGGCTGCTCGGGTAGCCATCTAGCCGCGGCAGCACACAACAATTTCAATGGAATACAACTAAGATGTAGAGTGGACATTGCCCAGAGCTACAGGTAGTTGACTGACTGAAAATTCTACAACAAGAAGGAAAGAGAAAACCAGAAGGAAAATCAGAGGAGCTGAAAAAAAAAGCCTAAGGTACGGAGACATGCTGCGTGCCCGCCCGCACACGCGCGCGGAGAGGTCGCAGCCAGAGAGGAGGAGAGGGCAGGGTGCTGCCTTTCCTTCCCTAGCAGGAAGGAAATAAAACACCCAGCCTGGGCTGAACCCCCGAACCGGCAGCGCTGAGCCCCCCAAACCGGCAGCGCTGAGCCCCAGTTATGGGCCAGATCCTGGGGACTCAGGCTCCGGCAGGAGGAGACGGGGCTGTGAGGCGGAAAAACGGCGAAAAGCAGGGCCCCCGGAGTCGCGCGCAATGCGCGCAGAGGACTGAATGTTGACTCTGATACTGGGTTACCCTAGCTGGAAGAAACAAGGCCTCTGGCGGCGCTGGGCCTCAGTCCAGACTGCTCCTAACCTCAGTTCTGGGCCAATCCCTGGGGACCCAGACTCAGGTAGAGGGAGACAGTGCTGTGAGGCGGAGTCCGGGGAGAGCGGCGAAAGGCCAGACTCGCGCACACTGCGCGCAGAGGACAGTCTGTTGTCTCTGATGCTGGACTCCTCTAGCGGGAAGGAGAAAAAAAGCTCCGGGCTGGGGGAACGCGGCGGGGAGCAGGAGCCCCTGCAGGACGCCTGCCAACCAGGAACCAGCAAGGAGCCGGGCGACGGGGCCACTGGGGGAGGGGGCTGCCCCTGAGCCTTCCACCGCTGAGCTCGGGCAATGGAGCCAAGGCCGGGAGGCTGCTTCCAGGGCGGCGCCATCCCCGGCAACAGGCTAAAGCAGTGCAGGAGCCCGCGGAGAACAAAGGGGTGCCACAGGCCAACTTGCTGAGCTCCCAGGACTAGGAGGAAGAAACCAAAGAAGTTCTCAATGTGAAGAAATCAAGTGAGAGCAAAAGATAGTAAAATTACTTAAGAAAGAATACAAAGAAGTTCTTGAAAAATCAAAGACTAAGTCAGAACTCAACCCACCAGCCAAAATTGCAACATAAATGCATTTAAAAAAAAAAAAAAAAGAAAGAAAAAAAAGGACAGAATGTTGGAGCAGTGGCGGCCAGGCCTAGAGTGGCCAGGCACAAGGCAGTGGCAGCCAGGCCTGGAGCAGCAACGGCCAGGCCCCAGAGCAGCAGCAGCCAGAACCAGAGCATCAACAGCCAGCACTGGAGCAGCCAGACCTGGGGCAGTGGCAGCCAGGCCTGAGGTGGAGGCGGCCAAGCCCAGGGTGGCCAGTCCAGGAACACCCAGACCCGGAGTGGCCGGGCCCGGAGAAGCTGGGCCCAGAGCAGCCGGGGTGGGAGCAGCCAGACCCAGAACAGCAGTAGCCAAGCCCAGAGCATCCAGGCCGGGAGTGACCAGGCTCGGAGCGGCCGGGCCCGGGGCAGCCGGGCCCAGAGCAGCCGGGTCGGGTGCGGCCAGGCCCGGAGCAGCGGCTGCCAGGCTGGGAGTGGCCAGGCCCGGGAGAGCAGCAGCCAAGTCCAGAGCAACTAGGTCGGGAGCGGCAGTGACCAGACCCGGAGCAGCTTGTTGTGGAACGAACCAGAGCAACAGAGGCCAGGCCCTGAGCAGCCAGGCTCGGAACAGCTCGCTCCTTGCCTGCGCCTGCCCCACGGCTGCTCTCAGACATGGCTGGAAACTTTCGTGGGAACTTGAGGGTCTGCTGAATCAAGTGATGAAGGCTTAGAGCTAGATGTGTTGAGTTAGTATGGGGCTGGGGTGTTGATCTGTGAGTGCCTTGGGTGGGGCCTGGATGAGGCTGGTGGACCTATTGGGAAATGTCTTTTGTGTGAAGTGTATCATTGGGCATGTGGAGGTATTATTGATATGAGAAAATGCTAAGTAACTGATTTACTATCTGAAATGGGATTTACTATTGGGGAAAGGGAGGGAAGAAGAGACTGAACATAAACTGTGCACCTATGGATGAGGACAATGGGGGATGGGGAGGAGGCGGAGGGTGGGGTGGGAACCTGGTGGAGGGGGGAAGAAATGAGGAACGTTTGTAATAATATGAACAATAAAGATTGATTTAAAAAAAAAAAAAGACAAGAATTGAGGAGACAGCCC